GGGACTTCAGAATCATTTTGCGATTTCGAGGGACCTTTTTGATATTAATTATGCTCTGTGGGACCTGAGTGTAATTTTCCCAATTAATTATTATCATGAGTTCATCAGGACACGTACGTTCGTGTTCTTTTTCATAGGTACATAACATAGACAACAGAAAAAAATACTCGAGTAATGTTTGTACTATAAAGTCACAAGGGGTGACTGCTATTTTAATGAATCGTACGTACAATATGTTCCATGGCCATGCCATGTTCCTAATCAAAAGTAAAAGCCAATCCAATTGGGATATCGATTGATTGATGATATATATCTTTCGTAAATAAGCTCAGACCAAATCCAAGCCCCAAAACAGATGATAATTATTTATGAGGTAATTATAAGCGGAAAGGAACAATAAAGCAAGGGACGAATGGGCCTTATCTTGATAGCAAGCAGACACATATATAGTTAGTCCCTCAAGTCAGTTTATAACTTCACTCACTAACTGGATAAAAGGTGTGTTTGAGAGAAGAATTAAATACTTTGTAAAACTTATTTTATAACATAAATTATACTACAAAATAAATTTTATATTTCCGACGAGATCTAAATAATGTTCAATTCACTCATTAGTCACTCGTGCCCACCAGCATAATGTATATGCGCGTGATATGATTATAAAAACAACAGTAGACATCAATTTTGAGGGAGACTCAGGGTATCTCCATTGATAGAAAGCTGAGGCATATATAGATGGCAAGGAAGGAAGTGGGTGTGACGCGGACGATGATGTGAGGAGGGTATTTAGGGTTCCCCTAATTGGATTGGTACAACCAATCACTGCTTATTAAATTGATCACATAATTACCTGTTTTGTTTTTCACCTTTCATTCTTTTTTTGCCTCAGTGATATACTACTACAGTTTTGTCGTATTATTTTTGCATGCTTCCTCATTTCAATTAACAGGGCAAAAGTAGAAGGAGTGATTTTTAATTCGTGGGTTTTTTTTTAAAAAAAATTGTAATTGGAAAAAATAATAAAAGGAGAAAAATGTAAATTTACTATTTATATGTAATACAAAAGCTTCAATAAGTAACACTATTCATGGCAAAGACAATAAATTTATTTACAATGCATGAGGCCAACATTAATACATTTAACATGGCTAAATTAAAACTGAATAAAAATGATCTGGATTGACCGATTTCTTTGATTAATTACTAGGCAGTATAATATTCTTGCTCAAGAAATAATTGTTATCTATGGCGAGATAAAGAGTAAAATATCATTCATATATATTTTTTTCCACTTGATTATTTTGTGGCTAACATTTTATAATTATATTGACTAACTTTGTTGGTATTTTTGTTTGGTGAATGATGATCGATGAGTGCTCGAAAGTGTATTCCAGCTATCTGTTTTCTACGATGACTTGGTTGAAAATTAATGAGATCATAAGAAGATGATTCCAGAGAATCTTTTTCAAGATTTTAAACCCGTGACAGTGCACAGGTGGTTCAACTTGGAATTAATAACCATTATTAGTAGCTCAATCGCCCTTGAATTTTGGTTGTTTGGCTAGTATATTTTGATCATGTGTAAGAAAAATTTAAATAATACTATGTCCACGAAGAAAGCTGAGATAAATCCAAATGAAATTAATTTTTCTTATAAAATATAAATTATATCACAAATTATACAATATTTACAAAGAATCTGCGGGGAAAGACGTCTGTAATTTAAATAGTGTGGGTGTGTGTTAATTAAAGTGTTGAATATATACATTATATTATCAGAATGGATATGTGAGGAGATAATATTGAAAATATTAGGGTGGGGGCCTTTATCATCATCATTATTATTAATTTAAGAGAAAAAAAAAAAGAGAGATAGGGCAATGCCAGAGCGAAATATGAAAATAGGTTTCCTGTAAAAAATTCTTCCTTTCATCATTTGATTGCCGAACACATAATAAATAAAGTACACAAACATAGATGGCTTTTTATTTCCAACGTCTTTTCATATTCAATAAGAGATTACGTATATATAGTACAACACACTATATTAAAAATTAAAAATTAAAAATTAATTATTATTTAACATTATGCGTTTTGAATTATTTTAGTGTGTTGTGTATTTTGCTTAGGGGGTGTTTGGATGAAATCAAACTATAGTCTGGAAAATAGCTTCTGGAGAATAGATTTTGGGGAAAATAAATTTTGTCAAGAATAGATTTTGTGAAAAAGTGATTCTGAGAAGTGAAAGTGTTTAGATAGTTGTTATTAGAAACATTATATATATATAAATTACTAAAAAAGACATAAGTTAATATGATAATTACATAAAAGATAGATTTTATGATATATTTTAATTTGAAGGAATAAAATTGTTAATTATATATTTTTTACTAACATAATTAATAATACATAAGATAATATAATTAATGAATAATTAATATGGGTATATATATTTATAAGATATAAGATTAATATGTTTATAAAAAATTAATTGATGGATGTTAAAGTCATATTATTGTTGAGATTTATTTTGACAGGCACAATCATACTCTCCAATTTGAGCCAGAAATATAATGGACTCACTTCTCCTAAAACTATGGTTTTGGGTTCCAAAATCATGGTTTCAGATTATGCCATCAAAATTAATACTGTTTAGGTGACATTCCAACCAAACTATAGTTTTGCCTCCCAAACTATGATTTTAAGAGTCACCCAAACAGTCTCTTAATATATGTTAATTTCTCTTGCTCACGAGTTTAGATTTACAGATCATGTTCTGTCCATTTGCTGGAAAGAATCAAATAATAAGGGGAAAAATGCAAACATTCTTATTGATCTTTCTTTATTCGTCTGCTACCAGCTTCAATTCCTTTAATTTTTTTTAAAATATTCTTATTTTTATGTATTCTTTCACTGTGTTATTTGAATTTGGATTTGTTATATGTGAAATCACGCGTCAAGTTGAACATTTAATTAATATCAATATTTAAAATATTAATACCTCTTGTCATTAATACAAGACTAAAGATTAAGAAAGCTAAATAAATTATTTTAAATATTTATATTTATCATTTTTTAAAATTAATTTACCTATTTATAAATTGATATATAATCTAATGATATGTATAAGTATTTTAAAAAGATCATAAAATACATATTATAATTAAGTCATTATTCAGTTTTTTAATATCTCTAAATTAATCAATTGAATCTTATATTAAGTACCGATATAGTATTACATGCCCATAAATACAAGTATGTCTTTACCGCATGTTGCACACTGCAGATATACAATTAATATCTTGATATGCACCAAAGTAGATGTTCTAATTTTTATAATTTTGTCGAATAAAATATAAAATTAAAAGATAATTAATTTTTTAGTCTCATTAATTATATTATTTTTAATTTTATTTATAATTTATAAATAAAATCTTATAATTAAAACAGATGTAAGTCATCACAAGGCAAAATCAAACGAGGGGTAAACAAGATTTGACCATTACATTCTGCCAAAATAACGAGGGGAAGAATCCAAGGACAGACAAAAAAATATTATTTCTTTCGCCTCAATTATATGTTATATTTGACTTTTGATGTCCTTTAAAGTTCTTCTTTCTTTATTATATGAATAATAATATTAAATTTTCGTCTCAATCTACTACGAGAAGATTTTCGTAAAATGAAAATTTTGTAAAACCAGCAAATAGTTAAGGATTAAAAAATAATAACCCGAAGAAAAAGGGGCGATAAATCTTTCAACCATGCATTCATATCTACGAAGCTAAATAATTAATTAAAAAGGAGCATGACTTCCTCAGAATATTTTCACCTGGACTTCGCCTCTTTTTTTTTTTGCCAACGAATTTACCTATTTCATTGTCACCCCCATAAACAAGTATTTTTAATTTCATTATTTTTCAAAATTATATATTAAGAATATAATTGAGATTGTATGTAGAGAAAAATACATCGAGAATTTATTTGAATTATATTGTACTTTGTAGCATGCAATGAAGTTTTGGGGCGAGTGAGAAGCACGAGGGTGATAGAGAGTGGAGGGAAGCCAGTAATGAACAGTGAAGGCGTCGCGTCCCCAAGGGCCCACCACCATGTGAAATTGCATATACAGTAACACCATTCAACACCTCTCTCTCCCTCTCTCTCTCTCTCTCTCGTTAATCTGAGCTGAGCTTTGCATCAGAGCGTGTCTCTTTCATTCATTCATCTTATGCTTTTTACGTCCCATCACCAGAGCCTTCCCTTTTCAATTTTCCCCTTCTCTACTTCCTCTTCTTCTTCGTCCTCTCTTCCTTAAACCTAAACCTAAAACAAAAACCCCTCCCTTCTTATATATCTTCAACATTCAACATTCAACTGCCAACTAGCTCCACCGAAAAATTCGTTGATCTCATCATGGAATCAGCATCAGGAGGTTCCGGCCCCGGTGCATCCGATCCTAACAGCACGGAGGATCCGTCGGGGAGTACCACCACCGCTGCCCCTCAAGCCGAGGGCTCATCATCGCCCGCGCCACCGAGTCGCTACGAGTCGCAGAAGCGACGGGACTGGAACACCTTCTTGCAGTACCTGAGGAACCACAAGCCGCCATTGACGTTGGCGCGCTGTAGTGGAGCTCATGTGATCGAGTTCTTGAAGTACTTAGACCAATTCGGAAAGACCAAGGTCCACATAGCTGGGTGCCCCTATTTTGGCCACCCGAACCCCCCAGCACCTTGCGCGTGCCCGCTGAAGCAGGCGTGGGGGAGCCTCGACGCCCTGATCGGACGACTGAGAGCGGCCTACGAGGAGAACGGTGGACGGCCGGAGTCGAACCCGTTCGGGGCGAAAGCCGTGAGAATTTACCTGAGAGAAGTCAGGGAAGGGCAAGCCAAGGCCAGAGGGATTCCTTATGAGAAGAAGAAGCGAAAAAGGCCTACGGTTACCGCAACTAAGGTGGATGTCAACACGTCCGCAGGGAATACTGGCAGTGGTGGCGACGGCGAGAGTAAAGATGGCACTGCTGCTAGTGCCGCAAGCGGTGGTGCTGACGGTGTTGACGCCACTGTTAGCGGAGGTGGATGTGTTGCTGCTGCCTCAGGAACAGGTACAGGTAGTGCTACTGTTACTACTACGACAGTATAGTATTTTAATTCAATCATTTTGATAACTTTTTTCTTCTACCTTTTCCCACTACGATCTATTTTTGGTTTCAAGAAAATTAATTGTGATTACGGCCTTATATAAGTCACATACTCTTGGCGATCTTCTCAGACTGACGGAATCGACCCCCCCGGTCAAAATTAACCTATTGGAACTATATATATATATATATATATATATATATATGCATAACTGCATATCCATAAATGTATAGCACTCTTGTTGGTTACCAGCTAGCTAGGTCAATCACCAACTGTTTGTTCTTTTTCCTTTGTTCAATTGCGTGTAGATCGAAAGAGCTCGATGAACTGAACCTACAAAGCTCTGGTTAACTTTGCTCCTCTTTTCCTATATATCAACCTTAACTCATACTTGTGTAACCGTGAAACGCGAAAGTATATAGATAGCTCCAAAAGCCTTTCATTTTCTGGCTGAACTCATGCTTCGTCTCTCTCTGTTTGATTTGGGATTACTGTTCAGGGCGTGAGAACTACATTCTCACTAGGTATACTATGCCACCGAGGAAACTTGCAAGCACATCATTCATTTGCTTTCATTATGACGTTTGGTTTTTTTGTCTTGACCTGGTGGTGAGAACGCTGATCCAATCACAACTGGGCACTTGCATAATCAATCCGGTGAAAGTTAAGGCTTTGAACACTGAAACTTAAAAATCGCTATATGATAGCCTCAGCTATCCATCCTCTCTCAATTCCTCCCTTGGCTAAATGGAAGTAATTAATTGGGTATATAATAGCCCTTAATTGCTCCCTCTACCCCCATAATTGAAAATCATTTTCTCGTTTGATTTTGCTACTAGCTTAAGCAAGAAATTAAGGCAAAGACATTGAGAATATGGGTCAAATAGGGTCCAATAATGGCCTAGTTTAGTAATTCATAAGACCAGTACTACTCCAGGAAACTGTTCATCTGGACCCCAGGGAGGTTCTCTGTGTAGATCGATCTGCTGGCCTCAATCTATCTGTTGTATTGACGTACACGTGCGCTTGTATCATTTTTACACATTCTTCAGCTCCTGTTTCAGGTGGCTTCTCTTTACAATTCGGGTCGAAGCATTTTGTTGGCATTATATCGTTGGCTTGGGCATTAAGATTTTGGCTTTATTTTGTTGGTGTTTTTGGGATTTTAACTCTTTCATCACCTTCTTGTTTTGTTCCTTCCTTACCTTGCCTTTTTCTCTGTTCTAAGATACCTATAATTGACATTTCTTTCTGTGATAATAACACCCCTAGAAAAAAATAGAGTCTACAAAGCATCAATGAAAATAAAAACTGATCCTCTTGTGATTGCTGCTCTTATTTATTCATTTATTTTTATATGGGAAACCCCCGCCTAAGCATGAAAGCGACAGCCAGCCAACCATTCCTCACTTGCATTTTATATATATTATTATTTATTTTGTCTATTTTTATTATTATAAATCCTAGCTACGATTGATTATGTTGTGTTGTTATTATAGCATAGACCCACCAGCCACTCCAGAAAAAATCCACATTTCTGAATTTTAAATTGAATCGGATTTTTGGACCGTCCACTAAAATCATGAATCATCATCATCTACTCATAATGATGGACCGTAATGTATTGAAATTATTTCCTGGATTGCTTTTTTGTTTGGTTCTTCTTTTTCTGGCATTATTTTTTCTTCCTACGCTCTTCTCTCTGACTATATATAATGAATACTTGCATATAGCGAGAACTTTCGCTTTCTGGCCTTTTGTGGAACCACATAATTTCGTATGGGGCACTTTATTTCTCACTTTCCTTTGTTTTTTCTTTATTACGAGCGGTGGCCCCTGTTTCTCAAGAATATTTAAATTTATCGATCCTTTCTTCTTTCATCCTCCAACCTTTTCATAACTGTAAAACAAGTTCTCTCTCCAAATTAAACAAGGTCAACATGAATTTGAGAAGGGTATATATTTGTCGCGGCTGATCCATATTAAAACCTTAAACGCTCTCAATCAAACATTAAAGCCTATGTTATTGGGCAAGCATCAGGTAGAGCGTGCATGTCCTGTGGACTTTGAGGTCGAAGTGAGGGGCCCCAAATCAAAACCCTAATTAGCTTGCCTTTGGTCTTCACATTCTGCAAATTTATTGATTGCTTTTGGTCCCTCACTTTGACAGAACAGTCCATAATAGGGCCATGATGTTTTATCTCACAAAACGCGTTCTTGCTCATGTGTCAATATCAATGACGCGAGTTACGACGTTGGTAAAACTCAGTATATGAATTTATGAACAACATTTTACAGAGCTGAAAAATTCATAAATCCTCCCAAATCTCGGATTCATATATCTATCAAACTCCTCATAGCTTCTAACTAATATAACATGGAACCGATGCGAACCAATCACTGCATCGCAGCACAGTGTGTTAGTAAACTAATACTGATCATGGGTGCCTCAATCTTGCCTCTTATTTTGAGCGCGGCGCCTAGGGCTTTCAACTTCCGCTAGTTTTGACCTGAACGCATTTCACACAGTGGGGTGTGGACTATCGGTCTTCTTCGACGTAACCGTGAGGAAGTAATCAATATTTTCCGCGCCTAGAGAGAGAAGGGGGGGAAGAACCCAGTAAAATTACAAGATGATATGAAATATATCGTCACTATATCTACGGACACAGGTGAACAGGTTCGTCGCGCAGCTAGGTTTTTTTATAAGGATCGTTTAATAATTAACCTACGCGCTGCATGGAGCAGAAAGTGGGCCATGTTCTGTACACAGAAAGAGACCTAAAAGATATACAACCCAGTTATGTTATAGGCTTGGGAGAGATAATACATATATATATATATAATGCATGTGAATATAAATGATGCGCGCACACTGGAATCGGAATTCCGTATAGGAAGCGTACTTCATTTAAGAGGAGGAGGAAGGGGTTTTCTGGTAGATGGGATCGGTTTGTAGTTCGGAGGATATGAATATGGACAAACAGTGTGTGGTGGGGTTGCCTCTTTAATTTGATCGCACCAATAATATCGATCCCACCACGCTCCTTCACCTATTAATATTACTGCTCTTGCTCTTGTCCGAGACAAGGACCCTTTTTGAATTGTTTCAACAGTATCTGGTATGGCCTCGAAAGGTATATAAACTTGTTATCTGCGTGCATACATATATATAACCCTCTGGAAATGGAGCCTGCATCAGGGACAATCAATCTGGACTCTCTTAACTTTTTCTTTGGTTTCAGCAGTCGATTGATGTCGAGGGAAGCTATATATAAATATATACTCCTCTGGTCATAAGGCAGAGAAAGAAATTATTTTTTTGTCTTATTTATAAGTCATTTCATTAAAGTTTTAATCTGAATGTACTAATTCGTCTTTCATTTATTATACTGTAGATAGTTATATTTTTTGAAAGATGTATATATTAAATAGGAATAAAAATAAAAAATTATTATATTTTAATAAAAAATTAATGTATTTTAAGGTTTTTCTTGATTTGTATAAAATATGTTGAAAGTGTCTCATGAATAAGAGCAGAATAATACATATGCATATATAGATATAATAAATGTCATGCCGTATTAAAAATTCACAGGCCCCCTTACATGGAAATGAACGGTCGACAAGGTAACACGTAGGTCGTAGGGTACCTAGTGTCACAGTGTTTTGAGCCACATATGTGTGCGTGTGGAGGCACGTGATTTTCCCAATAAACATATGTACTTAGGGTCCATTTGTGGACAATAAATAGGGAGTACCAAAGTTGGTTAAAACATCCCTGCATAAAATGCACCACACCAAGCTGGCTAACCTTTCTCATTGGATGTGAATTCCATAGAGGATAGCGGCAAATTAACGTGTATATTTATAATAAATAAAACAGTCTTATGTTTTTCATCGTCAATACATCATCTTAGATTTACAGTGAATCTTATTACTCATGTAATATAAGATTGTACTTGAAAAAACATGGGATTCGCTTTAAACTCAGTTTGGCTATATAAAAGAAAGACTTCATTTCTCCCGGCCACTCAAGTGTGATATGTATTGATCTTATATAGTTGCTTTTGTGACACTTTTATGTAGATTTCATAGAGAATCTAATTTCACATACTTGTGGTAAAATTTGTGATGATTTTTTCGTAAACAAAGTCAGGTCAAGTTCTTCATACAAACCTTTCAATTATTTTATGATTCCAAACTTGACTATCGACTTCTAATTGGTGTGTAGTCTTCATATGGTTGGATGATCGTAAATAGGAACTAGTTTCAGTGCTGATCACATTTATAAGTACCATAAACTCATTAGATCTTAATTATTGATATCTCATTTGAATGGTCATATTTTAAATTTTAAATTAATTATTTTTAAATAAAAAATATTTTTTAAAAAATAATAGTTGACATATTATCTTTAATTTATTTTATATTCTATACCTACTAAAATAATTATATTGAACAAATAAAAAAGATTAAATCTGGACCATCTAAGTGAAATCTAGCTGGTTAAGATCTGATGGGTTTAAAGTGTCTATCAAAATAATGAACACCGGTTCCTGGTAAACATGGGTATAATCATTTGCCAATTGATTCGGATGGGGACAATTAATGTTGGATGCTCCTTATTTTAATTACTAATTATGAGTTATCTTAATCTTATTTGGTAAAAATTAACGTCAATAATGAATTATATTAACACATTCTTATCATTAAATTAATTAGATTTCGATGTGTATGAAAAACTTGTTTCAAGAAGTAAGTTGATATTACAAATAATTTACCCAATTCATAACTCAACATGGTTTTTTGAAAAAAAAAAAAACTAACATAATCAAAGAAAAAAAGAAAGAAGATGTGCCCTCAACTCAAATGTTTTTTGCGAGTGGAATTTGCATTTGAAATGGTTGGGTGGTTATTGCATTTTGATGTGAGAGTTAGGTTTCCAAATGCATGTACATATGGAGACAACTTAATCAGTGGAGAGCTTCTAATGGCCTAGATCCAATAATTGATTTGATTGTTAAAAGTCACCCCTATTTTGTTTGATTCTATATATATGTTTCCTATGACAAAATTACATAACTACCCTAACGAAAATGTGAAAAGAAAAAAAAAAACAGTTTTGCAAAGCAGTGATGAAAAATGAGAACATTAAATTAAAGAGATTATTTCGTGAGAGGATCAAAACAAATATAAAAAGAATTCAAATTTCTTGGGGAGCCAAGTTGTGATCACAATAATTGAGGATGGATGCACCATCGTGTGCAGTTCTAGAAGCCAATGGCCAAAGAATCTATCTCGTAGTGATGCGTAGTGTGTGCGTTTCAATTACGTTCTTCTTTAATAATTAAATGGGGTGGCTATAATCTCTTCTTTTTAAAGAATAATATATCAGGATATGATATCAATCATTGTCCCTGTATATCTGACAAATGCTGACGTTAGTGGGGGAAGATTAATTAAAGATTTATTCATTATTTTTGTCGTATAAGAAAACTTGTGAGCTGTTTTTATAGAGAAAAGCAGAATATTAAAATGTTGAGGGCCCTAGATGTCTCTATCAACGATTTACCCATATAACTTATGGATATTGTTAATTATGGGGATTATTAAGATATTACCTCTTATCTTTAATATTAGAGTTAGTTTGACTTTTAATTTTATCCTGAATATAAGATCATAATTTATTTTATCTTTTATATTTATTTTTTAAATAGCTCTTCTAATAGTTTACATATATTAAATGTTCTATCAAATAATAGTTCTAGGTAATATATATAGGATATTTTAGAAAAGAAATTATTTATTTATTACAAACAACTAACTTAAATTTTTTTTTTAATTTACTCAAATTGGTCAACTAGCTCTTATATTACCTTTGGTCCTTAATATAAGAGCTAATTGAATAATTTGAGTAGATTAAGAAAATTAGTTAAATTAGTTATCTGTAATAAATAGGTGTTATTTTTTTAAATATCTTTACTAATCAAGTATATTAGTTACAATTACTATTATTATAATGACTATTTTGAAAAAAATTAATAAATATGACAGACAAAGTGAATGGTGATATTATATTTAGGATCAAAAGAAAATTAAATAAACTCTTATATTAGGTAACAGAGATAGTACGTTATTTTCTATGTTTTTTATTTCCAAATTAAAACGAAATTGAAATTGAAATAATACAGCTTTTGGTGGGAATCATAAAAGGCACGAACGTCGACAGCAGGATTCGAACCTGCGCAGGCAAAGCCCAACAGATTTCGAGTCTGTCTCCTTAACCACTCGGACATATCGACGCGTTTGGTGTGCGTCACATTAATATGCTGAAATTTAATCACTGTGGCCGAAAGGGTTTGTTTTACTACGGCGAGCTTGATATCAAAGTCTCGTAATTAATATGTCAGCATCAAAAGATCGTTCTAGACTTCCAACAAAGTCCTTTTGAAAAAAAAAAAATTCAATTAAAATTATGCTCTTCTCGTTTTATTTTTAAGTCATTTTCAACATGTTTTATACAAATTAAAAAAAATCTTAAATTTTATTAACTTTCACTTAAAATTTAATAACTTTCTAATTTTATTCTTATTTAATATACTCCTCCGATCCTTGATATAAGACTTAATTATTGAGTTGACTTTGACTCTAAATATAAGATTTATTTTTCATATTTATCAATTTTTTCTATTTTTTTTTCTAAAAATACTTCTTCAACCGTAATCAAGTGAAGGAGGAAAAGAGGATATTAAGAAAGATGATTATGGTGTTTTAAGAAAAATATATCATATTTCTTATAATTAACTAACTTAATTTTTTTAATTAATCAAATGAGTTAAATAGGTCATTTATTAAGAACCGGAAGAGTACATTATACTTCATGTAAACAAAATCAATATAATAAATGATTAGTAAAATTGTATATCTATACAAAACATTTCTCTCAGTGTCTTATAAATAAGACTAAAAACGTTCTCTCTTTCTATTATATAAATAGGACCAGAAGAGTATTTTTTAACTTACGCTTTATTTTTATTTTTAAGTTGATTTTGCTCAGTTCCAACCACCTGCAGGACATGAGAATTTTTCAGACTAATAATCAGCAGTTTCTCTGATACTATCTTTGACATTTGACCCAGCACATGGAGTGGTTTGATTGATAAACAAACCGGGTAACCTTTTAGAGCAGCCACTCAGCAAATAGCACTGCTTTCGATTTTATGGATTCCAAGCATGAATTGAGGACGCAGGGCTACTTTGGACCGAATAGAGCCATCCATTATACATATTGGACTGTTTGATATGTAGTCCGTCACACTAATAATATCCACTGACAATTCGAAATTACAATAATGCAATTTCTTTCATTCTTCTTCAAGCTGCAAATACTTTCCGAACACAGCATAAGCTGGTATTCTTCTTGAGAATATATGAAAACAGTGATTTCAAGCTACCTGGGTTCAGGTCTGTTCAGACTCAAGGTCAAGCTTTTTGCGATATGGTCTGATGAACTCCAAGCATAGTCAACATATAATACATCTGGGAAATGCAAAGCATTTCAAGTAACAAGGTCAGCCTCATCTCGATCTGGGGAACCACATCTAATCTCATCATACTCCTATATTCATCAGGAATCGGAGCTCCAGCATGCACACATAGTTCCACCACAGCTGGAGCCTTGCCATAATACCTCTTCAAATCATTGTTCAAAGCAGGGCCATTAAGATCCTGAACATGCCATACATAATTTGGACCTACAAGATCATCTATAGTGGCTTCTTGCCATGCATGCAAACCATTTCGAGACTGATGCTTTGATGCTTTACATATTCTTACTTTGTGTCCCTTAGGACCCACCTGGACCTCAGGACAATATCCACAAGTATTTACAGTATACTTCTCCATTATTCTCCTTGCACCTGATGTCATCTCAAACCAAGAGTTCAGTGTCTTTATGCCTAAATTCCTCAATGTTTTCCTTTCTTCATCGCTCAACTGCTCTAAACAGTTTCTGCCATTCTCCCACAAATTCTTCTTCTCCATCAAATCCCTCAAACCTACAAGATCATCTATAGTGGCTTCTTGCCATGATGCAAACATTTCGAGACTGATGGCTTTGATGCTTACATATTCTTACTTTGTGTCCCTTAGGCCCACCTGGACCTCAGGACAATATCCACAAGTATTTACAGTATACTTCTCCATTATTCTCCTTGCACCTGATGTCATCTCAAACCAAGAGTTCAGTGTCTTTATGCCTAAATTCCTCAATGTTTTCCTTTCTTCATCGCTCAACTGCTCTAAACAGTTCTGCCATTCTCCACAAAATTCTTCTTCTCCATCAAATCCCTCAAATCATCTACAGGCTTGTTCAATATACTAAGCGACTCAGCTGAAGAACTGTCATTCTCACAAGAAAGTTTTCTTGCACTTTCGTCCCCATCCATGACTTTCTCGAAATCTACTATTCTTCCCTCAATACAATACACAGGTTTTGTTCTCCTTTTAGTGGGATACTTTTCAAGGTCAAGACCAGCTTGTATACAGAGTTCTGCAATGGCGGGAATACGAGGAATGACATGCTTTTCGTCATGCACAACTCTTGGTTACCAACACGATCAAAAAGATGGTAGCATTTTGGAAAGAAGACCACATCTTGAACCCCTCCCCTTCCCCAAACATGCATTGCATTCCGGAAACCACTCTTCGGCCCTGTACATGTCCGGATCTCGTGACCCACTTGGCCAATGTGAACCTCTTTACAGACTCTAATAGGAAACAAATAAATGTTAAGTTCGCAAACAAAAGCTGATGTAAATTGTTAAAATTTGCACTTGAAAACTTCACACAAGTTGAAGGAATAGATCAGAAACACGAAATAATGAAGACTCAATATTATGGTGGATTTTGGTTGGCCTATTCATGTTTCATGTATTCTAGTTATCAAATGAAACCCAGCCTTTTCATCTCTCATAATAATAATCAGGTCCTACACAGCTTTATATCTTGCCATATTCATGCTTCACAATAAATTTATTTTAAAGCGAACCGTAAATGAGGTAAATAGTCTAGTAACATAGCTCCAGAAGCGGGACAGACCTTCCACATCTCTATGGCCATGTCGGATGGTGATGCAAAGAGGCATGAGTTTTATATAGGAACACATTCAGTCAATCAAAATGAATTCCTTCAGATTATGTAGTTACAACTCTGAATGGCATATGGGAAGTCAATGGTAAATGTGTGTGCCTAACAATTACCCTTTTAAAAAGCCAGCTCAAGCTTCTGTGATAAATATCTCAAATAGAAGCTATGACATGAATACCATCGATTTCAGGTCAAGTTTAAACCCGAGTCTTCATGGAATGATGCTTATCTCTCATATTACTAGCGCATATAATCACCAACGTCAAATCTTGATCAATGTTTGGAATTGGAAATCACAATGAAAAGAAAAATGCTATTCACCGAAAGCTTAAACATGTTGGCTACCGGTCACAACATCGAGAAATGCTGATAATGTCTTCCTGCATATGCAACGAAAATCCATATGCCTACTTGCTAATATGACAATTGCTGTGTCTTGATATGCACCATTTGCAGTACTTCAACATCAAACAAGCAATCATCCATAGTGAGCTTATGTTGACCATTTGCTGGTATGACAAGGGAACGAATTAGCTACCTGCAGCGTTGGACGCGAATTATTTTCACAAGCTCCGACAAACCACAAAGAAGAGACTGACGAGCTTGATAGACTTGACGAGCGACTTCGACGAGTTCAGGAACCAACAAACCATTGTCAGGGGGTTCTTCGAGCATCCGGCAAGGCTGCACCTTTCGAGCTTCTCTCTCCGCTCTGGCCCTTCGAATCAAAACTTTCATGGGCGTCACATATGGCTTTCTCTCTGACTTTCTCCTGCAAGGCTTGGGCACGTCGCAGTACGAAGGGTCATCTGGGTCGTCTCCATAGTTAAGCCTCCTCTCCGACGAAAATAATAGGTTTCTGTTCAAACGACTGCACACTGAATTGAGGAGAGAAATATCCGATACGACTCTTGGGCGCATCTCCCACTGATTTTCTGCTCAATCAAAGTGGATGGGAAATGCCGGCTTCCGGAGAGTGTGTCCGTGCTGTGATGGCGGAAATCTCCGTCGTCCATTCAGACGCCTCACTGGCACAAGATGAATATGGAGCCCGACTCGGCTCAATAAGTGTTCTGTTTCAGCCCATCTTTGGCCCATGGTTTGACTAGAAGAAATTGATCTGGCCCATAATTACTTGCCCTTACAAATTCATCGTTATCCATACCACTCCGCCCTTCTCCATGTACATCCTACGCTCCACTTGAAAATTGAAACTCCTTTATAGCAAAAACAAAAATGTGATACTCCAAGAAAAGCAAAGATAATACATACGGAAGAAAAATGTAAAACGTAAAAGGATGGTCTCTAGATGAATAGTGAGATGAGTTATTCAAATTATCAGGAGAGAAAAATGCAAAAGCACGGTATCCAGATGTATCAAAAAAGGAATTTTTCTTCTTCTTATTTTTAATTCAATTTCGAATTTGTTTTAAGAAAATTCAGAAGAAGGAAGGTAAACTATTTTAAAATTCAATTGAATACTGTAAAGATTGAAATTTCACATCTCTTGCAATAATTTCTCCTCCTTCAGAAGTCCTTCACTAAATCATCTTTTATCTTGGAGAAATAACTTCGGGTTCGGCAAATATTAGTAAATTGTTTTGAAGGAAATAGTAGGGTAAATTTTCGGTGTAAAAGCTGATTCTGAACATTCCTTTTTTTCTGCCAACACTCGTGTCCGTAGATAAATAAATCAAGTAGTTCGAGGCAGAGATTGATTGTTTTTTTTTTTTTTTTAAAAGGAGTGGAGATTTCCTCACTAGGATGGCGCTGGGGACTTCGAATGAATTGACTCCCAACAAGCCAAACCAGTAGACATTTTTCCAACATAAACAACATGATATATAGTCAAATCTCTTGGCCGTGTTCTGCTTTGATCATGTAGTCTGCATCATCTTTAGTCTTCCACTTCCACTCTGAGATGGCACTTACTAGTTGTATTGACAGACACTACAATAGTTTGAAGATCGAGTACTAACCCATCACAAGTTCTACTACAGCAAACCACTTAGAAATCAAACAGGATTGTGCTAGAGAATGGGGTTAGAGAGAAATGATAGCTCCCTAATCCAATCTTGTTATTGTAATGACTTCAGAGTTATATCATATAGAGCTCAGTATAAGACCCCCACTTGCTCTTACTTGACACGTGTACCAGATTAGTTAAAACTGGCTTAAAAACTAATTTGGCTAATAGATTGGCCAATCTATGCTGCTCCTGGCATGTTCATCCGAGTCATCCATGATGTAACGGTAGACCTTAGTAGTTCCCATAAGTTAGGCATCACTGATTCCTCATCACAAACTGAATGCTTAGACTTCGTATCCATCATTTGATTAGCATCAAATAATACTTGGCTGCAACTTTTGGGTATATCAGTGCCTTTATAAGCTTTACAAATATAGCTTATAAAGTTTTCATAATCCTGTGGCACCCAAAAAAAAAAAAAAACAAAGAAAAAGAAATCAAACTTTTTAGAAGTGCATTTCACTCTCTATAGCTATTGTTCATCACAACAAAAGCCATGCGAATAGTAGAACTAACCTCATATAGTGGTTCTCCATCCACAACTACCCATGGAACATACTTATGAGGAGGCTGCAGAGCATTCGTTTCAGCTGCATACTTAAGCTCCAGCTGCATAAAAATGGTAACTTCTGCTTGAGAAGGTTTTGGCGAAACAATGATTCATCGATCAAAAAGCTATCTGTCACAACTTTTTGACCATCTGGAGACAGAGTCCACATTTTGCAAGTTTGGCAATAATTGAAAAGAAGACGTTTGATAATTTATCTTAAAAGAGAGATGAATATTCAGAATCAACACGTCTGGTAGATCCATACTACTGGTTTTGTAAATAGTTGTAGACTTGAAACAAAGGAGCACTGTGTCTTGTATCAGTAGAAAGTGATTCAAAGATTACCCCAAAGCTACAATGCCAGAGTTGTGTACTTTAACAAAACAATGACGATGCTAAAGTAATAGTAGTAGTAGTAGTTCCTTTGTGGTGAAAAGCGCAAGTGATGGTTAAGCTCAGGTAAAAGTACTCTTCGTTGGTTATTCCATATATACACTTCAAGAAAGAAACAAGCAGTTCATGAGCACATCAGACTGTTAGAGAAAAACCATTACCAGATATATCCATGGTTTAAGCATCAGATTTACTATCCCAATTTTAGACCAAGGTTTCAAACTCTATTGACACTGCTTCTCTTCCAAATTTCCATTTTAAACTAGGAACTGATTACTGCTACGAAAAATTTTCATTGTGATGAACAGATTACGGAGGGGGCATAAGCCACATTCTTGATAGTTTAGCATTTCTATTTCTCAAGTTGCCACAAATTGTCTTTCATTTAGCAGGATTTGTAAACTTTCAAGATTTTTAAATATATGAACGTAAATGTTATTAGAGAGAATCAGATAACATCGAAGAGTCGTGTTGATCTCACTGACAAAATAGTTTGAACAATAGAAAGTCTTATTTATTACTACCTCCGGTTCTTAATATAAGACTTTGTTTGACTTTTACTTTAGTCCTAATTATAAGACTCCAATCCACCTTGTTTCTCATATTTATGCATTCTTTCTCAAGATAGCCCTCTAATAAAAGTAGTTCTAGCCAATAAACTTGATTAGCAAAGATATTTTAGGAAAGACAATACATATGTATTACAAATAACTAACTTAACTTATTTTCTTACTCTCTTCAAATTAGTTAACTAACTCTTATAATTAGGACCAGAGATAGTGTTTAGTAGGGATAGCAGTTTTACTAAGTATGAGGGCTACGCAGTTCTACTCAATGGTTACTAGGAAAATATTACAATCTGGGCAGCAATCCTCTTAGGCCAGCAATTTCATAGCAAAGAAAGATGCAAATTAGCACGAATTACAAATTACTAGTGATATTTAACACAAAGCCTCGACACATTGCAAGGATATTTGACCAGCATAAACACATAGCAATGATAAAACATTAAATTTTATCAAGAATCAGAGAAAATCACAAACCTCCTTTCCATATTTGCTGGTATAGCATTTATCAATAGGTTTTGGATCCAGATCCAATTTCTGAAAACATGATTCCCATTCTCGGTACTTTAAGTCATACACTAAAGCCTCAACACAATATATGAAAGGAAAATGTTCATCCTGCCATAAACACGAATATAATTAGGTAGTTAAGAGTGTGATACAAAAGTAATATGAGTTATTTTCATATTAAATCAACAATAAGATCAAACTAAGAATGATTCGTGACATTAGCACTCGAGAGGAATTCTAGCATATCATCGAAGAATCCATCTCCCCAGTAAATGTTCTATTTTCTGTCGTCTATAACCCCATTAATATCTTTCCCTTTTCAACTCGCCCAAGTAAATTACAGATCCTTTCAACGCTACATTCCATTTAAAGAAATACCAACACTCAGAACCAAAAAGGATAAAACAAGAAAAAGTACCGCTCTCCGTTTATGGACCAGTCTACCCATTGATTTCTCAGTCTCTCTCACTATCAAAGCGGAAGTCTTACCAGGTCAGGCCATATATCAATTGCGCACGCTTCCACGGTGTTCAGTAAGCACTCATATGGGCCATGCTGCAATCGTCATGGGAAAAAAACAGCCGCATGTTAATTCAGGCAAATGGAACACATAAACACATAAACGAAAAGTTCAATTTAAGAGGAATATATAGATAGTTCCAGCTTTAAAACTAAAAAGGAACCCCCCCCACTCCCACCGATGGGGAAAAAAAAGGAAAAGGAAGGGGAAAGCCTACAAAAGAAGAGCTCATAGCAAATTGAGGGAGAGAGTGTTCATTTGAAGTACCTGACAATCAAAGGTGTTGTTTCCCCTGAGCTTGGCATTACCCCATGGAACGAGCTTGAGATCGACGATGGAGATAAGGTCGTCATCGAAGAGCTTGACCAGGTAATTGACGATGAAATTAGCACTGTAAGGGCACAAGCTTTCATAGTATAAACCCACAGAAACCTTGTGAGAATGGGAGGAGCGCAAGACTTGGGAAGGCAAGGAGGGAGGGAACAAAGCAAAGATGGAAAGGCAGAAGATAAGGGATGAGGTCATCTTCCAAGACCCCATGGTTGAAGGAGCTGAATTGGAGAGCTGCGAGGAGGATGGAGGCTATGGAGTTCCTTCGGTCACACTCCAAGCCGCTAGGATCAGCGGCTCAGGGTAAAATCTACAGCGCCATTTTTGCATGCGAACAAGATTCAGACAACGAATCACCTAGGTTTGTGCACGTGGAAGAATTTTTCTCGATTGCAGCTGCTGGCTTGCATTAGAGCCACACGAGTCCCTATAATTCAAAACGATTTATAGCCAAAGTCGTTTTAAGATTTCACCAAAAGCCCCTGAGGATAGCCACTTTTAATCTTGTCTCCTAAAATTTGAAACACATAATTTTGATAAGTAAAACAAACTTCAAGACCAAAAAATAAAATTGAATTTAGAACTAAAGTTATTGATTTAAATTTTAGAAATCAAAATCAAAATTAGTCATGCAAAAAAAAATATCAAAATTAAATTAAAGTTTATTAACTAAAAATAATATTAATAGTTTTTGTTATTGTTATTATTTAACAATCCCTACCCAGTGTTTTTTGTTTTTTGGGGGAAAGCCCTCCGAGCGTTTAGTGCATGGATGAGTGCAAAAGAAGCCCGTATTCTGTTACGTTTAATAAACTGCATACTCAGCAGTCAGCACCACTGCCCCGCGCCAAGCCAACCACGCAGCTACTTAATGACCGGTCCTCACCGTCCACGTACTTCCCCCTGAACGGTTATAAGTCCCCCAAAACCGCCAGAGAATCTTCACCTCCCTTTTTCTCGCGTTGCCATCTTCGTTCTCTTCTTACTGTAATTTTTTGTTGCATCCTTTGCTCTCTCCTCTGCTTTCTCTCTGTCAAAATGCTTATAGCCAATACTTCCTTCTCATTCTCGCTTTCACAGAGAGCACAGCTTCTGTCTTCTCTCTCACATCGTGGTCCCATTCACGATGCTGTGAAGACCCCGAACAGTGCATGCAGGAGCAGATTCTCCTGTAGAGATGTGGGCAGTAGGTTTGCTATACAGGCCTCTAAGGAGGATGATACTCGATCCATTCCGAATGTAATTTTCGAACCCCTCGAGGAAGTGAAAACGAAGCTCCATGTCATTCCCGCTGAGCCTCAGGCATCACTGGCTCGTCAGCAGTACAATGAGCAGTGTGAGGACGCCCTCAATGAACAGATCAAGTGAGCTTCACATTCTTATTATGTTAAATTTTGTCTGTATTTAGTTGCGTGCTGCTATCCTTCATTTTAACCGTCATGCACTGCTATCTGATTTTCATCGTTTGTTTTTACTGTGTTACATTTATTCTCTCTTCACGGAGTCTCTGTTCAATCGCCCTCCGACTTTCTGAGTCATTCATTCGTCCTTTCGGTTCTTAGTGTTGAGGCTAAGTTGGCTATCCTCATAGGAATAATCGGTAATTTGGTAAGTAATAAGTACCTGCAAACAGGCACAGCATCCTGCTTTTCTTAACCATTATTATCTAGTTAAGATGATCAGAGAGAGCTCTGATAGTCCTTATCATGCTGACAATTTTAGTAATGATTGTAAAAGATGGTTCTCGACCATTTACTTGCCTCTTCAGGTTTAAACTGCAACATGCTGTTTTCACTTTGTGTCTACTCGAGGTGGATACAATGTTCTTAGTTCTGCAAGTATCTCATTGCAGCTTTTCTTTCCTTCGAATCAGTGTGGAATACAGTATCTCCTACGTGTATCATGCCGTGCATGCCTACTTTGACCGAGATAATATCGCTCTCAAGGGACTAGCCAAGTATGAATCCTAAGTTCCTTCGTCGAATTTGGTTGTAAGTTGATTACTGATAAATTAGTATATTACACGCAACGTTTGTAGATTTTTCAAGGATTCAAGTGTGGAAGAGAGACAGCATGCTGAGAAATTGATGGAATACCAGGTGTTTGTTGCTTTGCAATGCATTAATTTTCCTAACTCACTATTATTTCTTTTCCGTTTAATCTTAAGTTCATATTATTAAATTTACTTTCTGATAATTACCAGAATATAAGAGGAGGTAGAGTTAAGCTGCAGTCACTGCTGATGCCTTTGTCAGAATATGATCATATTGAAAAGGGCGATGCATTAAATGGTAAGATGTGGGGCAATGCCTTTTATTCTGACTCTGGAGATTAACTCTGACATTTAAAGCAACTCACGAGATGCTGGTGAATAATTTTTATTTTGCCAAATTCATCAATATTTTTTTTTTCCATCTAAATACGAATTATTTGTCTGGAGCTTCTGGAGGGTGCTTCAACTTCTATGGCATAATAATTCATTCCGGTTCCGGCCATCTAAACGTTCAACTTCTGAAATCTTGTTGTGCTGTGCTTTGTACTTTTTTCTTCTTTTTTAATATAACTCAGAGTATTAGACTTGAGGCTAATTTCCTGAGAGCGTTAAGATTAACACCCTCCCTTTGAATTTGTGTTTAACCAACAACTAGTTGGTTGTATTTTGTTCTTATCAGAGAAGTTCTCGATGCGAGCATCGCCTATGAGAGTTATATGTGATAGTTTAGTTTAGTGTATTTGTTGCTTTCGGTTGTTCCTGAATTTCTGGAACCATGCGCGTTCGGAGTCGTGGTTTTTGACTTGTTAAATGCTGATACTGGATGCCCTGTCGTCCTGCAGCAATGGAACTTGCATTGTCTTTGAAAAAGTTGAACAATGGGAAGCTTCTTGATCTACACCAGGCAAATTTCCCAGCCCAAATTAAACTTATTATATAGATTTTTAGATTACTGTTAATTTTCCACCCAATAAGACGGTGCAGCTCAAAATGGACTTTATATCACTAACGCAGTTGGCAAATGAGAACAATGATGCGCAGCTCACTGATTTTATTGAAAGCGAGTTTCTTGCCGATCAGGTAAAGCAACATCCTGTGATTCTTGTTGTCATGACATCGGAAAGATCATTTTATCAAAAGACGATTGTTATCTTCCTTATTTTCGTTCGGCTTCAGGTTGAGTCCATCAAGAAGATCTCAGAATATGTGGCTCAGTTAAGAAGGGTGGGCAAAGGACATGGTAATTGCTTGAGTCATTAACCACACTAATTAATTTGTACACACACTTCTTGCTTCATAAATTACGGTAATTGGTTGGTGGGCTTGCAGGTGTCTGGCACTTTGATCAGATGCTGCTCAAAGAAGCTGTGGCAGCTGCATAACACATATCTACACTTATAAACCTGGCCTACTTCTCCTCCGATGCCTTTCCCTTTTAATGAAGACATGTCTCTTTTCTCCATGCATACTTCTACTCCCTGTTGGAATTGGTTACATTAAGCTTACCATGGATCCTGGTGAGCTTCTTCATATAGAACCAGTAGATCATAGAACCTATGATAAGAACAAGATACATAGTATTCTATTATGAGATGATCGATGATGCGAAATACAAACTAGCGAGTCATTGCATGAACACACACAAGATAGTATACAAGTACGTGGAAATAATCATTAATGATGATTATAGATATCATGCTGAGGAAGCCCTTTCTGCCTCACGCCTGAGCCTAGCTTCTTCAATGATACTCAACTTGATTCCCTTTCCTTTGGGTAAAGAGACCCATGGTCTTGAGCCCTGACCAATAATGAAAACGTTTTCCAAACGAGTAGCGAATTCGTTCCCAACAGCATCTTGGACATGGATGGTGTCAAAGGTGCCCATATGTTTTTCCCTCCTCTTTATAACCCCAACTCGTCCTCTGTTCCTCCCACCCGTCACCATCGCAACATTTCCAACTTCAAACTTTATGAAGTCAGTGATCTTGTAGGAGTCTCGGTCAAGTTTTATGGTGTCGTTAGCTTTGATAAGCGGGTCAGGATATCTGATGGTTCGTCCATCGTATGTGTTCAGATAGGGAATACCCCTTTTCCCAAACTGCACCGATCTCACCTTACAGAGCTTGAACTATATGAAGGAACTGACAGTATTAACATGTATCATAAAGTGACTTATATTCACAAATAGCGGTAAGTTAAAGAAGCAAACCTTTGCCTCGTCCTCTGTTATTGATCGCAAGCGAAAACGACCCTTGACATCATAGAGGAGTCTGAAGTTCTCGTTCGTTTTTGGAATGGATACAACGTCTGAAAAATTACGCGCCCGCACAATATGAATTTATATATTGATGATGCAACTCTTATATATATATATATATATGCGTATAATTTGGAGGAAAGGAAAATATACCCATAAAGCCTGCAGGGTACTTCTGATCAGTTCTGACTTTTCCATCAACAAGAACATGTCGCTGCATGAGAATTAAAATGACTTCGCGATATGTGAGTGCATATTTAAGCTTGTTTCGGAGGATAAGGATGAGGGGGAGGCACTCCCTTAGCTTGTGAGGTCCAGGAGATGGCTTGGGAGCCTGCATATAAAGAAGACGAGTCGTATTAAGTTTCTCATTAAGTCTGAAGAAGACTGCACTACACAATAAAAAGACGAAAGCCTTTTGCGTACAAAAGCGCCTCCAAGCTTGTCAAGCATCCAGTGTTTGGGAGCTTTGAGCCTCTTTAAGTGCTTCCTCTTCCCTCTAGCCTGTTTAATTATGGACCACAAAATTATGATTACTCAATTACCATCTGTAAAAAGCGTAATAAGCACTAAGCAAGATTAACAGAGGGGAAGGGAGAAGGAAAACAGATAATTTGAAACTTAAAAAAAACAAGAATCAATAACCATGTTCGTCACTCTTGAGGTAGTTGTCAGGACAATTCGTCCAGGAATGGCATGAGGGCATCATGAAGCCCGGCCTAGCTCGGATTTATAAGATTCTGAGCTTTGATTTTCCCTGTAGTTACTTTCCACGTAGCCCTTCTTCACTCTTCTTCCTGGCTCTACACATTGCTGACGCACCAGTTTTCTGGTTTCTACTCGCGGCCAGAAAGGAATAGTCCCGACAAAAGAGGTGGTTAGGTATTATTTAAACTCGAAGTTAACAATTAAAATTGCATCAATCTTTCCATTTAGATTCATTTTCTCAGATCTTTGCTTGCCTGGGCTCATTAGTCAACTTCTCTTGCTTACTTTATGCTTGGAACGGGGAAATTAGGAGTGAGAAATTTTTTTAATAAGTTTGATTTAAAAAATTAGAAAAGTCTTTTGATTCAAAAATATATAAAATAAAATAGTAAGAAAAATTAATTAAAAGTTTTTAACTTTGTTTTTAAAATTTTTTAAATTAAATTTATTTAAAAAAATTTTCCTCTCCTCTTCATTTTTTTCCGTACCAAACAAACCTTCAAATTTTCCATACATTTATGGTAAAAATAATTTTTGTCCGAATGGCTTTCAACATTCAACAATTTCAAGCATTGCCACGGATAGGACTGTGCCTTTCATTAAAACAAATATTTTCCCTAGGGTCAATTCCCTAGGCCCTTATCAGGCTTGTTTTGCCTTTTATTAAAAAACATATTTTCCCTTCATTTATTTATCGAATTGAGATCTTTTTGGCGGCAAGGGGTAACAAAAAAGCGATGGGGGCCCGTTCGCACTGACTACGGGAAATAATTAGGAACCAAAGTCTTTGTGCTTTTCAGGGAACGAGAAAAATACTACTAGTACTTCAACTTCTTATGTGCGCCAAAATATCTCATGTTCTAATCTAATCTCCCTTCCGGTACTAGCAAACCCTAGATCGGACTATGTCTGGGTTCTACGGTCAAGAAGGTGGCGGCTCTGCGCCTCCGCCTCCGCCGTATGGAGCTAACGGTGGGTATGGTGCTTCCGGAGGAGGTTATGGAGGTGGTCGTGGTGGAGGAGGATATCAAGAGGGGGCTGGTCGTGGAGGAGGAGGACGAGGATATCAAGGAGGTGGTTATGGAGGCGGAGGCTATGGAGGTGGCAGCGCTGGTGGTGGATATGGCGGGGATGATGGCGGGGGTTATGGTGGAAAGGGTACCGCTGGTGGCGGATATGGTGGTAACGATGGCGGAGGTTATGGAGGGAAGAGTGTGTATGGAGGAAATGATGGCGGGGGTTATGGAGGAAGGGGAAGTGGGGGAGGACAAGGTGGTCGAGGGAATGGGGGTTATGGTGGGGGAGCTGGAGGATACGGTGGTCGAGGTTTGCATTCTTGCTTGTTTCTTTGTCAATTTTCAGCTCGATCATGTCCTAATTTACTTGATTTGCAGGTGGTGGTGGGGGATATCAAGGCGGAGATCGTGGAGGACGGGGAGGAGGCAGAGGCGGACGTGGTGGAGGTGGTAGAGAAGGAGATTGGCGTTGCCCCAACCCAAGGTTTGTGACTCTTTACTTTGATTTGCCTCGCAATTGTTGCATTTCTGTGAAATGTTTTTCTTTTTTTGTAATAATTACAGCTGGGGATTTCATCTGTTGACTCTTACAATTTTGTATTTGATTGAAAATTGCTATCTATAGTTGTGGTAATTTGAACTTTGCGAGAAGGGTTGAATGTAACAAATGTGGTGCACCATCCCCTTCTGGTGCTAATGATCGAGGTGGCAGTGGTGGTTATGATAGGGGAGGAAGAGTTGGGGGTGGGGGATATGGCAGTAATCGAGGCGGTAGATCTGGTAATTACGAAGGAGGAAGAGGTAACGACTATGACAGCGGTAGGAATTATAACAATGATGGTAGAGGAGGCAATAGGGGCGGTTCTTTTAGTGGTAACCAAGCCAGAGAAGATGGTGCATTCGCTCAAGGTCGTCATCCTACAGCCCAGTCTTACGGTGGTGCTGGTGGAAACTATGCACCCACATATGATTCTTATGGTGGGAATGCAAATTATGGATCCGATGCAGTTCCTCCACCTACAAGCTATACTGGTGGACCCACATCATACCCTCCATCCTATGGGGGTAATACAGGTGGGAATGATGGTGGTCATGGTCCTGGTAGTAAAGGTGGATTTGGTGGAGCTCCCCCCGAACCCCCGGCTAAAGTGAAGCAGTGTGATGAAAATTGTGGGGATTCTTGCGACAACTCTAGAATCTACATATCGAACTTACCACCTGATGTGACTATTGAAGAATTGAGGGAACTGTTTGGAGGCATTGGACAAGTAATGTTCTCATCTGTTGATTTCTGCACAAGTTCATTGTATGGAAGACCGGTTTTTTACATTTTCAGAGGGCTTTTTTTTTTTTTTATTTTAATTCAAGTGCCTCTTTGAGAGTAAAGTGCACGTTATCTTTTTATTTTCATGCATGGTTTTATGGTTTTTATTGTATACCTGGATTTTATATGACGTACAGGGTGCTGTTTTTTGGTTGGGTTTTTTTTTTTTGGGGGGGGGGTTAATATTTTTGAAGTTTATTTCTTTGCGCTACAGAGGTCGAACTAGAATGTGGCTGAGTTTTTTATGCAAATGCTGCAAATATGGGTTTTTGTAAGTGTAATTCCTCTTGGTAATATTGCACTTTATTTTAGGTTGGAAGAATAAAGCAGAAGAGGGGTTATAAAGATCAGTGGCCTTGGAACATAAAAATATACACAGATGAGAATGGAAACAACAAGGGTGATGCTTGTCTTGCATATGAAGATCCCTCTGCAGCACATGCTGCTGGCGGTTTTTACAATAGTACTATATCTTGCATAATCTGGTGTTATTAATGTATCTTTAATGCTTCTTTCTAATCATGAATCCCTCCATTTCAGATTTTGATTTGAGGGGCTACAAAATCAGTGTTACAATGGCAGAGAAATCTGCACCAAGGGCTCCACCTGCATATGGCCATGGGTATCTATTATTAACTTCTCTGCTTGCTAATATACAAGATGCTAGTTCTGTCTCCGTGTGTAACTCTTAATAAGTGCTTTTGACGTAATTATTTATGGCATTGAATGCTGGGATTCGTGTTTCAGTTATGCTGGGTACTGGCTCCCTCATGAGCAATATATTTTTCCCTCAATCAAAGTTTTTTGGGTGATTCTTGTTTAGGTCCTTGGATTTCATGGGCAGAAGTAAAATGTCGAGTTTTGAGCTTATCTTTTTTTATTGGGATAAAATGTTAATGAAAAGTGATTATAAAATATTGTACCATAATTTACTTAGAATATTGCGTGTTGTAGACAAACATATTGACATTGTCCAATTTCTACTTTTGTACGAACTGTTCAGGTTGACATTGTCCAATTTCTACTTTTGTACGAACTGTTCAGGTTGATTTGGGTTGATTGATTTCTTGTGAAATTTCAGCCACGGTCTTATTAATTTTGGTGTTAATTGTTTCTTGTGATATAGGGGCAACAGGGGTGGCTACGGTGGAGATAGACGCAGAGACAATAGAGATGGGGGTAATTCTGGGCCTGATAGGCGTGATCACTATTCTGGGAACCGTTCACGTCCATACTGAGCCTCAACAATGAGCATTTTATGTACTATGAATTGTGGTCTGAGGGATTTAGTATATTCAGGTGGCTGGTTTCTTGAAATGGAAGCAAAGAGGTAGGTTGTTCACTTACTTGAGCAGGACCTCTTCGCTCCTTTTTGTTATGTCTGTTACTGGCTGGTGGGTTCTTTTAGGCAGGGTTTAATTTGATCATGTGAATGTTTTTCTAGAGGCAAGTGGATAGTCTCCAAATTGCTTGCTGCTAAGGTAGGTTGATTATTTCAGGTGAGTGCTGCTTTCATGAAAATGGCTTTATCCTTGATTGGAACTTGATCGACGTCATTATGGGTATATGCCTGCTTTCATGGGTCATTCCATGTGGCATGTGGTTCAAGCAGGTGATGGCTTTGATAGAATGTTTGTTTCAATTGCGGCTTAACAGATCAATAAATCCCAGTTAGGGGGTTTTTTGTGTTATTTTTTCCAGTAGGAGAGTAATGGGCTGACTATTCATGTTAGCCTTATGCTTACTGATTTTACTCTGCATGGTGCATGCTATGAATTTCTGTATAATAAATGAATCATCAATGCCTGATTCACGGCCTTTGGGATGGATATGCTATAGGGAGGACTGGTTTCTTTCATGAAGTCATATACCAGTCGTCAGTTTACCCTGTTCCGGCAACGATGTGCTTATTTCCATGCAGTTCATGATAGAGCTATGTTAGGCTGGTCTCCCAAGCATATACGTAATTAAACATTGCATAGAAATTGCGTCGTTTGTTGGGATACGTTATGACTAAACAGATTGACTGACAATTCATTATTAGGCAGCTGAAACGATTGCACCAATTCCATGTCTTTAATAAGATTGGATAATCGGTGGAAACTGCACTTCGTTTTTTTTTTCTTTTTGGGGGGGTGTGTTTTATAACTTCGTTTGCATTGCATCATGTCAAATTCGCCTTCATTTGTTGTTCGAACATTTTGAATCTTAAGTCCTGCATTTTGTATGGTGGCCATTTCTGGTGGCTGGAACATGTAAAAAATGGTACGTCAAATGTATGTGTTTCATGCAGCTTGCCACAGATGTCATTTGCAAAACCGCAATTTATATCATTGAAAGTTCTTTGTTTTAAAAAAATTTGGTTTTGGTGTTGCTATTTGTTCGTTTGCCTGCATTCCACGTTCATTAAATACTGCACATCAAGAATTCTGGGAGATCGTACTTCCACATTCTTTTGTTTACCGTTAAAAGAGGTGGGCAAAATATCAAGGTTTGGAGGGAAAAATGTCTTCTCTAGTCTGGATGCGGAGATTGTTCGGTTTCAGGGATTCTGATCGTGATATATGTGCACTTCAAAAAATAAAAATTGTATGATTTCTATACAATTGAAAAAAATGCCAGTGTATATGTCATTTCCTTACTGAGTTATTCAATCAGTGTGTTAAAGGTATGGTTAAATCATTAGTATCATGATTTAATTAAAAAAATGTATACTGATATTCTAATTAAAGAATCTCCGAGAGAAGATACAAGAAATTGAACTTTCAAAGTGTGCTCCGTACATTAGTATTTAAATTGAAATGAATTTAGATCCTTTCATCTAGTGACGACTTTTATGGAAGGTTAAAACGCGCATGATGTTTGCCTATGCGCATGATGTAAACCACCAGCCGGTGATCTGACTATTTTATCTTGCTCGAGTTGGTTGCCGGTTTGATTGTTCTTTAAAATTTCCGTTAGACCCTTCGGTCGTTATTGAGGATTCATTCAAGCTAATGCATTACAAAATGTAAGGAACGATCTATATTACCCTGGGCATCGTGCGGATGGATTAAGTGTACCCTAGTGTGCTCAGTGATAAAGGGATTGTGCGGTTGTAAACTTCTGTAATAACGTTTTTCTTATACCTTGAACTTCTATAATGACGTGTCTCAAGCAATTTGTTGGCAAATGAGTTCTGTTTAGGTATTTTTAGCCATCTATCAAGACTTCTATCGATGATCTGGATGCTGGGCAATGAGGGGAAGCTGTAATTCCATGTATTATAGTCGTATTATCATTGATTGACGTTCTGTCTGATTTCAAATCCACTTGCATTTTGAATTGGAAGCCTTGGCTGTGATTGGTTTTTGCAGGATCGTGTCGAAATGGTTGATTTGTGCAGATATAATAGCCGGTTTTTCCTTTCAAAATATTTCTGCGTTGCAGCTAAACTTTTGTATAACTTGGTACCTTTTAATGTCGAGTGCTCTTCGATAAGCAAATATGGAATTGTAAAGAAGGGGAAGGAATGGGAAAATTGTACGAGTGTGTGTCCATCTTCGTTATACGACTCAAATGATTGAAGGATTAACTACAGATAAGGAGAGCTGGGCGTGGCGAAGTCCAAGATCTGTGAGAGTTCAAACGTTATGGTACTCAAAGATACCACCTTCTTGTGCATTCTAAGGCAGTGATGATATTCGACGTTCTGCAGTTCAAATCTGTATGCAACGATGAACGGAAAACAAATACCCGGAAGTGCCTCCAGAGACTTTTGTTTTCTTTTTGGTATAACTAGGTGGTATCCTCTAGCTAATAGCCAGAGACTAGTCCTTCCGAGGTGTAGAGATCACTAAAGTGGGTTTTGCCTCTCCCAACAAAGCCTTTTCCGTGCACACGGCTTGGTTCGAACTCAGGACATCATGTTTAAGGGACCCAGTCATTTACCAACTGTGCCGGGTTTTGTTGGTGCCTTCAGAGACTGTTAAATGAAAGCTCGGTAACTTCCTATTGAATTCGCTAATTGCTACTCGTTGCCTGGTCCATACTATTCCAAAATATTTTTTCTAGTGGACCTTTGCAATTCTACTTTTAATTCTTATCTCTCGTTCTTAATGTTTCATGTCAAATGGGACTTCTGTTCAATTTATTGCTTCCATGGATTCTTGTTTAGTAGAAAAATAGTCCCCAAATGGAAAAAAAAAAAAATCAGAAAAAGTGATCCTTAAGGCATATTGCCCATGTTAGCAACCCGAGCAATTGCGCGCAGTTCCTTAATAATAATCTTTTCAGCTGTTTCTAATGTAAATTCCAAAAAGAAGAAATTAAATTAAAATTTTATTATTTTGTATATTCCTAATGTCGACTAGATATCTGGCAAATGAAAAAAAAAGGACGGGGATAAATTTACTCCACACGTTTTTGTTTGTATGAATTATAAATGTCAGTATGAAAAACTAATCTTATGCAGACAACAAAAAAAAGAAGCTTTCAGACTTGTAACGATATATATATATATATATATGTATGTATAACACTAATAATGGTAATGGTCGGGTTAGGAGAAAGGAATTATTTTTTTTTAAAAAAAAGTTGAATGTTCAAATATTGTATTAAATAAGTTGTGCATCCAACCAAATTTGACAGAGGTATAAAATAATTGTATCAAAAACACACATACATATAATATACTCCCATGGTCCTTAATATAGGACTCAATTTTTGAGTTAGTTTTGTCTTAAATATAGACCCATTTTTTATATTATCAATTTTCTCTAAATTACCCTTATAGATACTCTCTCAACCATAATCAAGTAGAAGAGGGAGAGGGGGTATTAAGAAAGATGATTATGGTATTTTGGAAAAAATGCGTCACTTTTCTTATAATTAACTAACTTACCTAATTTCCTTAATCTAACCAAATTAGTTAAACGGGTCTTATATTAAGGACCGGAGGAGTACTACATCTTATCCTAATTGGTAATTGATTAATTCAAGTAAATTAAAAAAAATAATTAAATTAATTATTTATAATAAATAGGTATTTTTTTAAATAGTATAATTATGTGTATTAACTAAAATGATCATTTGATTAAACTTTTAACGTGCATAATTATTATAAAAATTTTCTTAATAAATAAATAAATAAAATAGATTAAAATTTTATATTTGGCACTAAATTTATCTGTTGGTACTTTAACTTAGTATTCTTTCAATCCTTAATATAAGACCCATTTAACTAATTTGATTGGATTAAGGAAGTTAAGTAAGTTAATTATAAGAAATGTAACATGTTTTTCCTAAAATACTATAATCATCTTTTTTAATACCCTATCTTTTTTTTATTTGATTATGATTAAGGAAGTATCTATAGAATAATTTAAAAAAAATTAATAAATATGATAAATGAGTTTTATATTTAGATCAAAATTAACTTAACAATTGAGTTCTTACAGTACTACTCTCAGCATCGATTTATTTTCCTCGTTTATTTTCCTCTCCAGTATCTGCAGCTTTCCTTGCACCTCGCAGCTTTAACCACCAATCTCTCCCGCTAAAAATGGCACAAGAACAAGAGCAACACTCGCTCCTTCGCTCCTTAATCGGTGCCGGAAGGTCCTCCTTCCCTTTCTTCTTATATTTTCTCCTCTTTCTGTTTGATCGCTAACCAGCTCTAAGAAAAATTCTCTCTCAGTTTCGATGATGCCACGCTGCGAATTCTTCAGTCTCTTCTGGTCTCCAAAGATGTGGAATCGTCGATGCAAGTTCGATGTAGCTTCACAGCATTCTTCAGATCGCAATTCCTCTCCGTTATTCGCTCAATTGCCTCAAAATCTGTCCAGGAGAAGCTTTTTATACTCGATTTTTTCGTTCGAGCTTTCGCTATCGTCGGCGATGTAGAGGTGCTTCTATTATTTTGTTCTTCTGCTATCATAAATGAACTTGACTTGTACTGCCGCCTGCAGACTTTTTCTGTTTCTAGGTATACCTTTAGATGCAGTTATCGCTTCTGATATAGTATTTAAAAGCAAGTGCTCTTATGTAACTAATTAGCAACATTGTGTTTCCCTACGCCTTAGAGTTGCTTAGCTTTGAGATACGAGGCTCTGCTCATGAGAACACTCAAGTCTGCCAGTTGTCAATGGCTAGATGTCTCGCCTGTGGAATGGTTAAATTTTGTGGAAGACGCGCTGCATAACGGTTTCCATTCCATTGCAGAGAAGGTATGTAGGTGTTATGTGGGTAGTTTATATTCGCAAACTCACCTGCCTGCATTCAGAATCGTACTACAGTTGTACATTTGCAGTTTCATTCATCTTTATAGTAACTTCTATATAGGATGTTAAAAAACAGGAAATAGTTTTGATTCTGTCTCTCGGTTTTAAACCCGAGTTAGTCTTTTTTGCGTGCTTCCCCATCAGCAACTACTTTCCTGTTTGAGAATTAGGCATGTCAACATGCATTATTGTGCATTGGGAAGAACGATATGCTGGAGCCTGGGATAGAAGGATTTTCTGAAAATGCTGAAGCAATTAGGACGATTACGAGGCTGAGGAACCGTGCAATGAAATCTGTCGCTTCGAGCTCTGGTATCTCCTAAATTTATGTAACGATTTCTTGTGAAGATCCTTGTTTTTATTCTTTGACACAAGTGAATCTTTCGGGAGCAGTGGCGTCAGTGTGACTCATTTTGGGATATACTAGCACTACATTGTTGCTTGCACTGCATTGTAGAGCATCCTCGCTCGTCGATGAAAGCATTGTTGCTGCAGTGCTCTTATTACAGAGGACAACTAGGACTGGTTTACGTTTGCAGGAGATAATGTGGTTGCTTTGAGTAGGACCTTTGCTGGCATCAATAACTCAGTCTTGAGATGATTGTCCATTTGGCACGAATGCTACGCATTCTTGTACTGTATGAATATGCATCGGCTAATGTAAATTTCACCGCACAATTAATTTAAACTGCTACACCCTGAGTTGTGAAATACTTCCTTTGTGCCTTGAAGAAAGCACATTTTGCTTAAGACTAATTATGCTTATAAAGTAATTTTAATTTGTGCTTAAAAAGGAAAAAAAGACCTTACTTTGGTCATCTTTAATTGCATCAAACATAGCAGACTAATGTAGACATGTGCTTAGTTAAAGGGGGAAAAACTTACAATCAATCGATTGGGGGGTTTGGGCAGTTGTGTCTTAGATTCAGAAGAAATGAGAACAAGAGATGCATCTAAACAGCTGGAAATGGAATTTTTAATCTGATAAATGATCCATGCCTTTGCTGAAATTCCACTACACGTCCTGCACATCTCTCAAATATTAGGAAGCTTAAGTGCTTACTGTGTCTTGACAAAAAGATAATTGTTATGATCTAGAAACAGGCTAAATGCTTTCCATCTTTTTCTTGGCAAGGTTCCTTGACCTTTTCGTTATTTGTTACTCGAATTTTGTATATCCGTCTGCAAACCGCTGTTGATAATTAAAAGATGAGGGAGCTTCTCTTTCTTTATCTTGTTCTCTCTGTGTGTTTATATCATGAATTAAGCTCGTCAATATCTCATTTGAAAGGTTTATCTTGAAACTGTCCTGTTACGTAATCTGTGCTTTTATGAGTGTTCATTGCAAATTGTTTCATGAATGTCAGTTCAGGCGCAAGCAGCGGAGTACCTAACAAGGAAATCATCTGAACAGGGAAAGTTGAATTCAATCTCCGAAGAAAAACAATGTCCAGCAAGCACGTCCTTTAGAAATGGAATTAAGAGACAGAATATGCGGAAGTTACAGGAACAACGAAGCCTTCTGCAGATCAATGATGAATGAACTGGACATCAGCCAAATGCACTGATTAGTCATATTTGAGCTAATCAAATTGCATCCTTCCTTTTGGTTCGAGTTTTGACACTTGATCAGATTTCATACATGCTCTTGCTGTGAGAGTAAACTCTTTACGTTGCCTGATATTTGACCGATTTAAAAGAATAGTGATAATGTCAGGACTGACAACAATTGGGAATTTTTTTCCCCTTAGTTGTGAAACAAAAACTTCACTTCCATTCCACTCCCATCTCTGATTATAATTATTAGTACGAAGGCATTTGCCTAGAATCTCAATTGTTTCTTCTTCGACATCATCATAAGTGGGAAATCCTTAAGGAGCAATAGGTTTTCAATTTATAACCGTAATTAATTCAGAAAAAAAAATTCAATTGACCATTCAAAAATGTTCAAGACAATAATATTTGAAGTCCTATTTTATTTCATAATCAGTATCACAAGTTAAGAAAAATATAACACATAAATTATGGAAAGAAACCAAAAGGTCCCTGACTCTTAAATGCATTCCTTGCCATTCAAAAGCAAAGAGGATAAACTACAAACTGCTGAAAAAAAACAGTCCACATGCGCAGGGAGTAATACTAATAATAAGAGTAACAGTGTGCGTTACTGTGAAAGGACACTGAACAGAACCAGACAGGAAGACAAAAAGATAGACGGAGATAGCTCAACCAAGCTAAGATGGAATACAATTCACTGCTACGAAGCCCAAAGAAAGAGGAGAGACAAGTACCCGAATATGTCTTCCCCGTATCACCGGATTTCTCCAACCATGATTTCAATGTTTTGGATGAACTGGGCGACGGCGTTTTATGCTCTGAACAGGACCACAGAAAACTACAGAATAGTCTTTATGGTAGCCAGCTTAATTGGGACTTCATGGAATTGGAGGGTTTCTCAGCTGTCGATGCAGAGGAACCAGAAGTAGCAGACGATGACGAAGGAGAAGAAGAAGATGAGGAGGAAGAGGAGAAGCGGATGAGAAGCAAATGCCTTGTGGAAGACGACAAGATTATAAAGAGAGAAAACGGAGGCCTCTGGGAGGAAGACGATGAGAAGATGACGTCTTTGAAATTGAGCTTGAACTATCAAGAGGTTTTGGATGCATGGTCTGACCGTGGCCCTCTCTGGGCCGACGATTGTTCTCTTTCAATGCCTTCCAACGTTAACAATGGCTTCTGCTATGTCAATTCTCTTGAATTCCTCCATACATGTTCATCCGTGAATTTATGATATATCAGATCTTCCAGTATATATGTGTGTGTGTTTATCTTTATATTTATATATTTGACATGAGGGAGAATAATGAATGTGTAAATTAGATGGGAGAAGTTCCAACGGTGCAGGAAGATAGAAGCAGAAGGAATGCGAGTGTTAGAAGGTACAAAGAGAAGCGTCAGAGCAGACTGTTCTCCAAGAAGATAAGATACCAAGTCCGAAAACTAAATGCTGATAAAAGACCCAGAATCAAGGTCAGTTTTATTTTCTTGCTTATCTTATTTCTTTTACTTTTTTTTGGGGGGGGGGGGGAACGAAAACAGTGTTGTTGATATTTTGAAGGATGTAGGGTCGCTTTGTGAAGAGACTTTAAAAGATGGAGAACGTAAGGGGTGGGAGGAGGAGGGGAGACCAAAATATCTCTCAAAAATATCTCTCAGATTCCTTGTACTTGTATTATCCCTTGCAGGTTGCAGCAGCCAATTCCCATTTTTTAAATGTTTATAAATTGGAGCTATCCGATTCATTGTATCGATCTGTAACTCGTGATATTTTATACATTAAATCGTGGAATCTTGTGTCCTGAGGGTGAAATGGACTGTGTTTGTGAATATTGGGAAAACATGGTTCATCCTTTGCTGCGTAGTAATGGATTGATATTTTGGGCCCAAAAGCGTAACATTCAAATGGATCCTTAATGTTCACTTAGAGAGGGGCAGATCCATATACGATCCCTCATGTGATCCAAAATGATTTTTTAACCCAATAAGTCACACGCCTTCCATGGAATATTCAAATTCACAATTTTATGAAAATTAGTGTTTTAAATAAGATTATCTCTGATAAGAAACTGACTTACGTTGTAAAAAAAGAATCATATGCTTGAAAAATCTTAATAAAAACACTTGGTCCCATAAAATATGTATGGTTTCATTTGGATAACGCTGCCCAATCAGTCAATCACTGACATGATTAAAAAATTTCAGCAAACCATTTAGGAGTGCAAATACAGAAGATATTTTGGAGACCTCGTTCTCAGAACCAACAAGTATTGAGTCATCTGCAACTAATTAATCGCATATAATAAAATTTGGAGATTAAAAAAAGTTGTCTTGCTATACGAAGAAAAAAAGTGTGCTATGCGCCAGCTTTTCAATCGATATAAGAAATAAAGTTAAAAATATAGATAAATAAGTTATATTTAATTTGATCTCAAATATAATACTTCAATCCATTTTATTTTCATATTTATTTATTTATTTTTCAAAATTATCCTTATAATAATTGTTGTACAGTTATAATTAATATATATAATTAGTAAAAATATTTTTATAAAATTAATACATATTTTATAAATAATTAATTTAACCAAATTTTTTAACTCATTAACATTAGGTCGCTGATTTAAGTGACGCCGCAACAGTGGGGAGATAGGTTCGTTGTTTGGTGGGGTGTCACTTTTTCACTGGTCCATGAAGGACGACGGACAGTACCCCGTCCCTCTATCTTTGTCCCACTGGCCACCTCCGCCAAAGTCCAACACATATAAGCGCGCAAATTTGTGATTTTCTTTCATTTACCACGCTTGAATTTTTTATCGGACCCAAATATATATATATTTTCTAAACTTGATCAGAGTGTTTTTCTAGGTGAGTGATTTTTTTTTTATTTTGAAAAACTGAAATAAGTTGGTTCCTTGCAAATTGCAACACATGCCCTCTCTGTCCGTCTTCTCTCCATCTGGCCGGCGTTTTGACATTTCGAAAGGACGGATGGTGTTATCAAAACCAAAAAAAGGATGGATGATGTGCCATGATAACAAAGAAAGTTAAAATATGTAGTAGTAGACAATATTTTGTTGATTCGATTGAACCAAATACCACCAATGAAGAAATACGGATTCAGATGTTGGTGTCTGAATTTTATTTTGGTTTTAAATATAAGACCTCAATTATTTTGTTCTCATATTTATATATTTTTTTCAAAATAACCCTTCTAACAATGATAATTCTAATCAATACACTCGATTAGTAAGGATATTTTAAAAAAAATAATACATATTTAAGATAAATAATTAATTAATTTATTTTTTTAATCTCTTTAAATTAATCAACTGACTTTTAGAACAGTAGGTAACAATACATACGGACAGCCAAAATCTATTTCAAACTCTACTGATTCCACTTTCTCCCACGGAAAGGGGGGGACAAGAAAAAGGAGTGTGGGACCAACACGTGAGATAAATCAAAAGAAGGCGCGACGTGGCAGCTAGGGAGAGGGGCAGGTGGAGGAAGACGTGACGCCAGGTGGGCCCTCTGTTTCACAGTATTTGTCAGTATCGCTCGTGAATGATTCGCACTGGATTCAGAAATTGTGGGACGTGTCGGAATGAATATCTCAGGGTTTGGCGCCCGCAGTGAGGGACCCGGCAATACGAGTCGCTCTCCCATTGGCTCTCCTTGGTATGAGGCCTGCGTTCGCCCCTCCCTGATATTTTCTCTTCAGTCTTCTCTCGTCAGGCTTCCTTCCCCCGTCATTATCAACCCTCAAATTACATTTCGGGAACATGCAGCTCCTTTAATTACACCTCCGCCAGTTTACTCTTTTTTTTTTTTTGTCTTTAAATAATTAGTTAAATAATCTATTACAAAAAAATAAAAATACATAATTGCGTGGATCTCAACTTTCCATTATTTTCACAACCGCAAGCAGGTTTTAAGAGGAGCAGTATTTGCTCCTAATTTATTACCTTTATGTATTTTTGAATTTAAAAACAATTTTTGGTAGAATTTTGAAGTAATTCTGAGTCTTGATATGTTTTTTTTTTGGGCTAGAAAAAGTGTTAACATAATATTTGGTTAAAATTTAATTTCATTTAGTTTTGTTTCTTGAAATTTAAAATTTGAAAGTGTATTTAACTTACAAAGACAAGAATTAGTATTTATAGAAGGAAAAAATTTTAAGAACAAAAAATATTTTAGAGAATGAAATAAAATTTTGAGAACTAAATATTATATTAATTCTAAAAAATAAAAAAATTAATATAAAATTATAATTATAAAAAGTGTTACTCGATAACAAATTTTAATATAAAACAAACAAGTATTCATTTCTTATTACTAGCATGATTTTTTAATAATTTTTAGCTAATATAAAAATTATTTAATTATTTTAATTAAATTAAAGAAGTTAAATAAATTAGTTAACCATAAGATATATGACATATTTTTAAAAAAACACCATGATCATTTTTTTCAATATCATTCATTCTTTACTTATTTAATTATAGTTAAAAAATATTTGTAGAAATAATTTTAAAAATTTATAAAAATAAAAAACACATTATATTTAAAATTAATATTAATTTAATAATTATATTCTATATTAAAGATCAAAAGAGTAATTACTTTTTTAATAAAACCCTGGAGCAAATTGGCAAGAAAATCTGGTCAAAAAAAAAATCGGCAAGAAAATAGTGATCACCATCAAAATCATCAACTCATAGTGCCCTGTCACACGCGCACATGGCTCTGCTTTCACAGTCAGAGTTTAGCAGGATCCAAACTTCTGTGATGCAAACACGTATATCTTGACACAAGTGCACGAGCACATAGCGCCAATTTCTTATATTAATAAGGAAAAAAACAAATGCATGATGAACTTTTAATTTGTATAAAATTTTAATTTATTTATTTTTTATATTTATTTATTAAAATAATTTTATAATAATTATATGTATTAAAAAATTTATCAAATAATGGTTTTACGTAATATATATAATTAGTAAAAATATTTCAGAATTATTTATTCATTATAAATAACTAACTTAATAAAAAATTTAATCAATTTAAATTAATATAAATACAATGGGCCATGGGGTGCTATTCCTGGGTACAAAACCCAAAAAAGAAAGGTTATAAGAAAAGGAAAAAAGCGCATCATACGTGTTGCAATCACGAAAGCAACCTCCACCCCTGTGGCCCAACAGTGATTATCAGGCATCACCATGTGGCCTTCGTAACCCTGCGGCTGAGTTGAATTATCAGTCCCAGTCCCCACGACCAGCTCGGTTCCCTTTTCCTCCTTTATATACCCCACCCCTTTCCGACTATAGCCTTCATCATCAATTAATTAACCAAACACTACGCTCCCCCACTTTCCTCCACTGTTGTTATCGTACGTTATTTCCATTTCTCGCCATGTCCAAGGTTGTCTGTGTCACCGGAGCCAGCGGCGCCATCGGATCGTGGCTCGTCCGCCTCCTACTCGACCGTGGCTACACCGTCCACGCCACCGTTCAAAATCTCAGTTACGCTCTTTTATTTTATGCACTTCATATATAAACTTCATTTCTTTATTTTCCACCGCGATCCCTCTCACACACTCGTACGTACCATTGAAAACGCATCCATACATAAGAAAGACGTAGAAAGTGATGACCCTGAAGTATAATTTCGGTTATGGTTCATATATTAGAACTGCATAGATAACAAATAGAAGTATAAGTAATTGATAATGTAAGAACACAGAGGATGACAATGAGACGAAGCATTTGGAGGCGATGGAAGGAGCGAAGAGTAGGCTGCGTTTGTTCGAGATGGATCTTCTGGACACAGACTCCATCAAAGCCGCCGTGAAGGGCTGCGCCGGCGTCTTCCATCTGGCGTGTCCTAACGTCATCGGTCAGGTTCATGATCCAGAGGTACAAGATATAATAATACTAACTCTACATATAGACTCCATACTCGTTTTGATTGTTCTTATTATTGGGATATTTGGTGACGTGGCAATTTTTTTCTCGTTCATTTTTTTTCTCGGGGTGTGCAGAAGCAAATAGTGGAGCCGGCGACAAAAGGGACGGTGAGCGTGCTGAAGGCGGCGAGAGAAGCAGGGGTGGAGAGAGTGGTGGCGACGTCGTCGATATCGGCGATTATTCCGAGTCCCGACTGGCCCTCCGACAAGATCAAAAACGAGGACTGTTGGTGTGACCTTGACTACTGCAGAAGCAAGGGGGTGAGTTCTCTTCTTTGTTCTTTTTTCCTCTTTTTCTTCAGCGTTTTATATTCTTAATTCTCACTCGGACTTTTCTCCCAACTCACTGTTCTTTTGTTGATAATACATAAACTTGGTTTTTCTTAGTTATTTGCTACCCGCACGTTTAAAGATAATTTTGCTAACATATTTTTGTTGTTAAGTTTTTCATTATTGTTTTCAAAAATTGTAGGCTAAAATATAATGAAATTTTTAAGTTTGAGGTGAGATTTGAGTAGATATTCAAAATTTATACCCTATTATAAACAAAAAAAAAAAGAACAGTATTTTCTTCATATTTGCTTTTGTTAAACTGAACATGAAACATAAGGTCCCAAAAAAAAACTGAACATAAAACATAAGGAATATATGGCCAAAAAAATAAATTCAATTTTTTGGCCATAAAAATTGTAAATTAAATCGTATGTCTTGTACTTTGTTATTAAAATCCTGAAATTATGAAAAGGCTGTATTTAAGTTTTCTCTGTGAAAAACAGTACTTAAAAGGAAAAAAATTATATTTATTCTAAAAATTTCACCTTGTTTTAAAAAATTGTTACCTTTTTTTCCCAAAAAGGGTGAAAATATCGTCCATCTCCACAAAGTATTATTCCAAAAATAAAATATTATTTTGAAAAATAAAGATATGTTTGTCATACTCGCACGTAATAGTCCAGACATGGATTTGTTTGACTTGGGAAATGCATGCAGCTATGGTATCCGATAGCGAAAACGCTGGCGGAGAAAGCAGGGTGGGATTTTGCGAGGGAGACAGGGTACGACGTCGTTATGATAAATCCGGGCACCGCCTTAGGCCCTCTCATTCCGCCCAGACTCAATTCAAGCATGGCTGTCCTTCTCGGCGTTCTCGAAGGTTTTCATCCTTAATTAGCTTTCCCTGCTTTCCCACACTCGCTTTCGCATCATAATTGTAATAATGCAATCGATCTCTGTTGATGGATATATGCAGGGGACACTGAGACATACGAGGACTTCTTCATGGGAATGGCGCACTTTAAGGATGTCGCCATGGCTCACATCTTGGCCTTCGAGAATAAAGAGGCTTCTGGAAGGCACTTGTGCGTGGAAGCCATTCGTCACTACGGTGATTTTGTGGAAAAGGTGGCTGAATTGTACCCTGACTATAATGTCGCTAAAGTGCCCAAGGATACTCAGCCTGGTCTTCTCCGAGCCAAGGATGCTTCTAAGAAGTTGATCAATCTGGGGATGCAGTTCACCCCCATTGAGCAAATCATCACTGATGCTGTTGAAAGTTTGAAGAGCAAGGGCTTTCTCTAAGTCTAAATCTTTGATCCTTTTTTAATTTGAGGGACTTTCACTGGGGGTGATGGAGTTTACAGGGATTTAGTGATGGCGTGGTTGGGTCGAATAAACGTGATGAGCTTGCAGTTTCAGTCACTGGTTCTGTATTTCATGACAAGAGTTTTATGTATAAACTCTTGCAGTTAATATTGAATAATTCTTATCTTGTTCTTTTTTCTTCAGTGAATTGGCAAAAAATGCGTCATCCTGCAATAAGTTTTACTGCGAAGGCACTAGGCCCTCATGAATCTATCACGGATCTGATAACGATATAAAGAAAGTCGACCATTTACGCAAATGATTGTTGTTATTAAAAAACCAACAAAAAAATCATAAGCTGGTCATGTTCTTATTTAAAAATATACACTCGTCTGACAAAATACTCAAGAGAGAGAGAGAACAATAAGAAAAGTTAAAAAATTGGCCAAGTATACTATCTTATCACCTGGTATCCATTTTCCTCAAAAGATGTGAGATTTATGAAGAACATAATGTCCATTAAACAAAGCAAACTCAGCCTCAGACTTAGAAGCCATAAGAAACTCAACATCAAGGTTAGGGGTCTGGGAAGAGGATTCAGCTATGGCGTGCCACGTGCTGGCGGTGCCATATCCAGGAAGAGGACATGTCAATCCGATGATGAATCTCTGCAAAATTCTAGCTTCTCTAAGGGCACCTAATGAGCAAGAGATTCTTATAACCTTTGTTGTCACAGAAGAGTGGCAAGGCTTAATCGGCTCCGATCAAACTAGGCTCAACAGCATAACGATCTCTACAATTCCCAACGTACTCCCGTCAGAGCTAGTCCGTGGGTCCGACTTCCCTGGGTTTTATGAGGCTGTGATGACAAAAATGGAAGCTCCCTTCGAAGTTCTGCTTCAAGATCTTCAGACGCACGTGACAATTATTATAGCTGATGCCGAGCTCCAGTGGGCTGTTCCTCTTGCGAATCGATGGAATATTCCGGTGGCTACTCTATGGACCAATTCCGCATCGGTGTTTTCCATGTTCCTCCACTTTCATCTCCTTCGCCAAAATGAGCATCTGGGAATTAATTTTTCAGGTAGGCTCCATAACTTAAAGAACTTTGATACTAACAACAGCAAATTGATTCGCCATCGTTTGACTGACGCTCACAGAGCATGGAGAAGAACGCGTGGAGAATATCCCTGGAGTTTCTTCAACAAGAATATCAGATTTACCACTATTTTCCACGGAAATGACAACAAAGTATTGCAGCTTGCCTTGCAATGCATATCAAGAGTCAAGCAAGCGCAGTATCTCCTTATCAATTCCATCTACTGCCTCGAACCCCAAGCCATAGATATTCTTAAAAGCATATATTCTTTGCCGGTCTACTCCATCGGCCCTGCAATCCCATTCTTTGACATGAATAACAACCATGACACAGATGGCCAGAACCCCAACTACATAGAATGGCTCAATTCTCAACCAAGAGGCTCTGTTCTGTACATATCTTTAGGGAGTTTTCTCTCTGTTTCAAGACAGCAGGTGGATGAACTCGTCGCTGGTGTACGTGAAAGTGGTGTGAGATTCTTGTGGGTGGCTCGCGGAGACAACTGGAAGCAAGATTTTGGAGCAAGAGGGCTTGTTGTGTCTTGGTGCGAACAATTGAAGGTTCTGTGCCATCCTTCTGTGGGGGGATTTTTGTCCCATTGTGGCTGGAACTCAGTTTTAGAGGCGACTTTCGCTGGTGTTCCTATTCTTACTTTCCCGATATTCTTTGATCAGACTCCAAACAGTAAGCAAATTGTAGAGGATTGGAAAGTTGGATGGCGGGGAAGAGAACGCACAGGAGTTGATAATGTTGTGACGAGAGAGGAAATATCAGTGCTTATAGGGAGATTTATGAATTCTGAAAGTACGGAATGTGATGAGCTGAGGAGAAAAGCAAAACAAGTTCAAGAGGTTTGTAGAAGAGCATTTGCAGAAGGGGGAACATCCGTAAATGATCTCAACGCATTAAGGATGTTTTACACAGCAAAGATAT